TGGCTCACAGCTGGATTAGGGCGGGGGCGGGCTGGTCCCCAAATTCTTGAGGGGTCCCCAAATTCTTGAGGGGGGTCCCCAAAAATCGATCGGGGGGGGGGGGGGGGAAGGGGTCTCTCGGCGTGTCCCAACATTTTAGGAGGGGCACGGAGCCTCGCCAAATTTTAATTTTTTCTAAAAATTTTTATTTTTTGGGAGTACGGGGGTTGTGTCCCCAAAATCCCGGGGGGTCCCCGTGTCCCCCCACGTGCGTGCCCGGGCTCGGGGGGGGGTCTCGGGGGCCGCCCCCCTCCTTCCCCCCCGGGTTAAACCCGGAGTTAAGCTCGGCTTGCTCCGCCCTGATCCAATTTGCTCCGGGATATTTCGGGATCGAAGCGGCCCCAGTGACCCCCCCCCCACCTTCCCCTCCCCCCAAAAAAGGGCTGGGGGGGGGTCCAGGGTTCACCCCAAAAATGGGGGGGGGGTCTCGGGGGGTCCGGGGGTGGATCCCGGTTTGGGATCCCAGTTCAGGATCCCGGGGCATTCCCAGTTCAGGATCCCAGTTCAGGATCCCAGTTCGGGATCCCAGTTCGGGATCCCAGTTCGGGATCCCAGTTCGGGATCCCGGGGCATTCCCAGTTCAGGATCCCAGTTCAGGATCCCAGTTCAGGATTTCGGGACAATTCCCAGTTCGGGATCCCAGTTCAGGATCCCAGTTCAGGATCCCAGTTCAGGATCTCGGGGCATTCCCAGTTCAGGATCCCAGTTCAGGATCCCAGTTCAGGATTTCGGGACAATTCCCAGTTCGGGATCCCAGTTCGGGATCCCAGTTCAGGATTTCGGGACAATTCCCAGTTCAGGGTCCCAGTTCAGGATCCCAGGGCATTCCCAGTTCAGGGTCCCAGTTCAGGATCCCGGGGACAATTCCCAGTGAGGGGTCCCGGTTTGGATTCTCAGTTCCCGCAGTTCCCAGTTTGGAATCCCGATTTGGGGATCCCGCTTTGGGATCCCAGGGCCATTCCCAGTTTGGGATCCCGGTGTCTGGGACAGGATCCCAGTGCAGGGTTCCAGTTTGGGATCCCGGAGCCCTTCCCGGGGCTCCGTTCCCGGTTTAGGATCCCAGTTTGGGATCCCGATTTCAGATCCCGGGGGTCCATTCCCGGTTTAGGATCCC